AGAGAGAGAGAGAGAGAGAGAGAGAGAGAGAGAATGAGAGAATATGAACTTTATTTCAATTGGCATGATCCTCAGACCTTTTCACAAGTGAGCTAGGCAGCAAGCAAAATGCTAGAATGCTTGCCCAAAGTCTCCCGTAGTGGATCACCTGCCTCCTGGGTGGCAGTGAGGTGTCCAGAGGCCCACCTCGTGTGTAGGCCTTGGCCTCTGGATCACCCTGCTCCTGAGACTGTCCTCACCACTCAGATTTTATCCATGTGCTAAAACAAAACTGAGATGTCTTTTTTTTTCCATTTTTAGTTTTGATATTGTAATATCATTACATGTTTCTCCCTCCCCTCAACTCCTCCAAATCTTGCCATGTATTCCTCGTTGTTCCCTTTCAAATTGGTGACATTTTTTCATTGTTATTGCATGCATATATGTATGTGTATCTGTATTCCTAAATAGTATCTGCTCAATCTATATAGCATTACTTGTATGTATATTTTCGGGGCTAACCATCTGGCATTAAAAAACGAGTTGTGTTCTACCCTGGGGAAGACTCTTTCTCCCAATCTCAGCATTCCTTAGTTGCCTATATTTCTTTGTGCATAGTATTGAGGCCTCATGGGCTTTCTTACATTCACTTTGGCATGTCTATTGATGTGTTTCTTGTTCAGCTTATGTTTAGGCTATCATGTTGCTGAGACTTCATGGTAGCTTTTGAATGGTAGAGGTAACTTTGGGTGAGTACCTGAATTATTTTCACTTTCATGCTCTTCTTTTAAAAGATTTGTGCTAGCTAGTCTTCCATCTATTTTAGTCCAGAGTATCCAAATAAATAATTGGGCGTTTGACTGGCTAATTTCTTTTTAGCTGACAGATCCCTTTAAACACCAGTATCTTTGATTTCTTAACTGTAATTGGAAACCTCTTACAAAATAATTAGAGTTTTTTGTTTTCTTTTAAAAGGATTTATTGCATTCATTTATCTCTGTGTATTTGTGAATGAACATACTCATGGGCAAATGAATGTGCATGTGCCACGGAGAGTGTGTGGAGATCAAAGGATGACTTGTAGGAAGCAGATCTCTCTCCTATACCCATCTTTTTACATGAGTGTTAGGGATCAAATTTGGATCCACACACTTCGTGACAAGCAGTTTACTTAACATACTTGCTGTCATGTGATTTTAAAGAAATTCTCAAATATTTATCTTTTTAAATTACATGTATATGGAGTGTCTATGTGTGTGTCTGTGCATGTGTGACTGCAGGTACTTAAGCAGTCCAGAAGAGGACATTTAATAACTGGTGCCGGAGTTACAGTTTACACCTGGCATGGGTGCTAAGAACCAAAGCCAGGTCCTCAGTAAGAGTAGTATGAGCTATCGACCACTGAGCCATCTCTCTAGACCCCACTGCTAAGATTCTAACTCATTAGCTTTGCCTAATTGTAGCTCTGCTTGCTAGTAACTCATGTGGCAGCACTCTGTGTCAATGTGTGGAGGCCTTTGGAAGAGTTAGCAGCTGAATTAGGAATGACTGGAATTGCTGGATGCCTAATCTCCAACTAAGTAGGGCAGTGCTGCAGTTTATAACTCCTGAGTCTCATATTATCAAAAAATCAATGAATCTTTATCCAGACTAGGTTTGAGTACTTTCTTCAGAGAGGACTCGGGGGATGTCCAGGCACTAAACCAATAAGCAGGTTGTATAAGGTTAACTCTGTTTATGCTTTTCTCATTCCATTTATAGGAGTTTTCAAACAGACAGGACGTTTCATGCAGCCAACGCAAGCTTGCTCACCCACTGCACACATCAAGGCTGGGACAGTGCCATATACATTACTATCCCCACTTAGAGTATGTATCTCCCATCAAATGTATTCAACCTATGTCCCTCAGGAAGCACATGGCCACATTTAGCCAAAGATATCTATGACTGTGGCCCAACCCAAAATCACAAACTTAAAGCATTATGAGATATTTTGGGCACCTGTTTATAATTCAGCTGCATGCTTCTGAAGAGTGAGCTTTGTAGATAACAATGCCATGGCACAATGTCAAAAGGTTGGATACATCTATACCCATATAGTTTCCTAGCAGCAGTGGGCATAGGCTAGACCTTTTCTCACACAGTTTAATGCAGGATCTCATGAAAGACTTACAGATGTGGAACTTAACTTCTTCTTCTGCTTCTGGGGGTTTAAAGCTATTTTGTGTTTAGCAGCTGAAGAATCCAAGCAGCCCTGTGAGGTGGCTGGGGTACTGAAACCGGAGACATGCTGAGTGCTGCTTTCAGAAGACTGTGATTGCTTGGCATCCGAGGACATTTCAGAGACACTCTGGAGAGTGGGAAAAAATAAGTGAGTCAAATCCATACAGATGCTGTTCCTGATCTCGAAGCAGGAAATGCTTCTCCGTTGCTAAGGAATGTGTAAGGAAGCCTTTCATGGATGACTATCCACTTCCTTTCCCCTTTCAGTTTAAATACCACACTTTGGGTCCTTTGTAAATGAAAATGAGATATAGGAAGAAATTTGGGGTTCTCCTTCTCTCAGAAGGCAACAAGGGTGCTCTGCTGCCCTCACAATTAGAACACAAGCACATATTGGCATTTACAAGGTGGAATGCTTGTATGTTCTCTTGTCCCATGTCCCTTCTCAGTGACAGGAAGACATCTGGCTAGAAAGAGAGGTGCATTCCTGGATGGGTAAAACTCAATGGGCCTCTGGGATTGCTGTGCTGGAAAGTTAGGGAGGGAAAAAATCCACTTGGAAGAAGGCCTCTTTGCAAGCTGTGTTTTCATAGACAGCACACTAATGTTATTTATATTTACAGTTCGTAGGTGCAAGGCTCATGGGAAGACTCCAGGAACTGACTTCTCCAGCCTCCAATGAAACATAGAGAAAGGCTCTAACCTTGTCCTCATTATAGTGGGCTCCATCTCCAGAAACTATTTGGATCTGGGACACCTGGTTCCATTCTGTAGTAGGAACTTTAAAATAGTCCCAACAAGGATTGTGGACACAACATTTTCTACACCTCCAAGAGACACACCAGAGCTCGCCGCTCACTCCTAAGTACCTGCACAGAAGTCATATTGAATAGCAGGTGATGTGTCATCTCGCTCCTGGACATCAGAAGCACATGGTGTCATGTTTCCTTTGTGTTTACCCTTATAAGTAGTGTTGCACAATGCCAGGGACCCCTTGGCAAAAGCTAGAGTTCACATGTCCCCACATTTTCCACAAACACTGTATGCAGATGTAGGGACAACCTCATCTGTTTATCTTGCCTCTAGACATGGTCCTCGATTTCAGTGTCTAGGGACTCAGCAGCGCTAACGATAAACCTAGCTCATCTGGTTTCACTTCTAATCAAGGTGAAAGAAACATACAAAATCTATTTTGTGGGGTCAACCACACAGCATTAACAGTGGTTCCAAGATTTCCGTAACTTTTTTCTTTTCTTTGTTTTGTTCTTTATGAGACAAGGTTTCTCTGCATGGCCCTAGGTGTCCTGGAACTCACTGTGTAACCATGCTGGCCATAAACTCAGAGATCCACTTGCCTCTGTCTCCCAAGTGCTGGAACTAAAGGTGTGCACCACCACTGCCTGGCTTTTCTTAACTTCTTTATGCAACTGTCATCCACTAACTTATAAACACCCATCCCAATAACTTATTCAGCTTGTGTCTGTTCCCCATGTTATTTTAGTCCTACTGTCTAAGGCTTCACTATTTTCAATTAAAAGAAGAAGATCTAGATGTGGAAATCCTAAAAGATACCATGCAAGTTGCTTTGTATGAAAGCCAATGTAGGATGCCTAAATGGTAAGACATACAGACCAATTTTCATTCACTTGACCTCCCAAACCTTACAGTATGAAAACTACATAATAGCATTGCTTGCTCCAGTAACACTCATTCTAGAATATAACAGAAAGATCAGGCTAAGCCAAAGCCTATTGATTTCCAGATTGGGTATGTACAACAGGGAGGTCCTTCATTCCAAATCACAGTACAAGCCAAGGAGGTAGCAAACTTAGCCCCAGCCTTCTTTTGTTAGTTCAACTTTCATTGATCTGATTACTGGCCTACATCTATCCTCCAACCTGAACTAAAAAGACAAAGAAAAATCACCTGATTATGGGGCCTTGCACTCAGACATATGATTCAAACTAGTCATCAGAGGTCCTTTTGTGAGTTCACAGTATTTTGTGTGGAAATGGAATATATTTGGATTTATATATTTCCTTAAATCCACCAGTGGGCTAAAAAATGTTTATACTCTGGAGCTCCGGACAGTATTTCTTAGCACAGAGTTCAGGAACTCATACACCCCAATGTTAAAATCATCTAGAAGGGGGTGTTGAAAGGTACATTTGAGGGACATGTCAAGACTGGACAGTAGCTGGGGATGTAGCTCAGTGGTAGAGCATCGTTTAGCATGTAAAAGGCCCTGATTTCAATTCCCAGCACCCAAAACAAAATAAAAGAGACCTGGAGGATAAGAATATCAGCAGAAGGGCCTTAGAATGGCTTGACAAACTCTCCAAGTGGGTATTTTAGAGCCAAGGTAGAGGATAAGAACTGACAGCTGATCTAGCACATCTTCAAACCAAAGCACATGGGTTTCACAAATAATCCCATCAGTCTTATTAGAACAGGATCCAGAAATCTATGGGTTTCTCCTGGTTCCTTCTTAGGCCCCATCTCTTCTCTCAGCTATATTGTTTAGTACCTCCCTAGAATAGTTACCAAGGAATTCAATCATAAGAGAGCATGCGTTATCCAAGGAGAGCAGATTAAACCCTCTTCTAGCAGGAGTGTGAAAGAAAGGTGAGGAAAGAATGGAACTCCTTTCTCTAATTCTCGTTTCCCAGCTCCTCTATCTGTCCTCAGACAAAGTCATACTGTCTGTACTCAGGTGCAGAGTGTTAAGGTAGATGGATGTGGTTCCCTTTCTTCTGTGTGTAAGAGGGGATTGAATATAGACATCCTTTCTGGGGAAGAAAGCTGGTTAGGGCTTCAGGCAAAGCATAGTAAGGGGTCCCTCAGTACTGGTTGGTAAAGGACTAAACTGGACATTCTTTTGGTATTAACTAGGTTAATAGAGGCTCTTTCAAAAATTAAAACACATTTCAGTTCTATTTTTCCCTCCTGTCAAATATCTAGACCCAGCTAGAAGCAGCTCAATCAATTATGCACTGTTAGGGCATCCTTTTAATGACTGCATCTTTTTCCCTGTATGTTGTTAGGCTTCCCTCTATTTCTTCGTAGTTGATAAGATACTGGTAAAGGGATATGAAGAACCAGCCTGTCTCCATCTTAGGTTTTAAAAACATCTTGTAACCTTAACTGCAAATTGTTCTGTACTGTCTGTTCCAATACAGATGCCAATCACATCTTTGTTTCAAAACCATCTTGCAACCCTACTTTTGTTTTTAAGGGTTTTTATGACTACCTGTTGTTAGGACTACCTTGTTAGGACCACCTTGCAATCATGTATTTGTTTCAGGAGGTCATTAGAACTAACTTGTTATGCTTATGTTCTGCTCCTGTAACCCCACCTATTTTGTCCACCAAATCTCTAATTTGGACACCTGAGCTATAAAAGCCTTATTTTCTTCACATCCAATGCTGACCTCTTGAACCCCAACTTTAGGGGAAAGCAGCCCACACACTCACACACATACACACACACACACACACACACACACACACACACATGCACACACCACATGCACACACATGCACATACACACACAACTTGCTTTAATTAATTGCTAACTTTAATTCATTTGGCCATGATGATTTAGGTCCCTTGTCTTTCTCCTCACATTTTTGAGATAAACAGAAATTTGATTGGCTTCTGAGGACAGCGGAAAGTCCTGCCTTGTGTTAAGTAAGAGTAGTAGGCATGCTCAGTGGCAGTCTATGAGCCCAGCAATTGAGAGGCCGAAGCAGGAGGATTTGGAATGCATGGCTAGCTTAGGCTACCAACCCTTAAAAAATGGAAAACCTACAGACAATTAGCCCCAGGTTCCATCCAACATTTGGGGGAAAATTGGCACTTTGGGGAAAATATATTCTGAAGCTGTCCAGGAGGGTCTGACACTGTAGATGGGAGCCTGGGTCGGATCTATGTGAGCTGACACTGTAAAGCACACTGCCTTGGTAATGCCTCCAGGGGACACAGCAGCTCTTGATGGGAAGATTGTTCTCAGTAAGAGGTGTTTCTGCTAAGAGATGCTGGCATAGGGTGTAAGATTTGCTATTGACTGATGTTCCCCTCCTTGGGGTGTGTCAAAGAAGTGGACATCCCCATTCCTGATGGTGTCCCCTCAGCTACTGCTTCACTCAAATCCTGGGTACATGAAAGCTGTTGAAGCCGGCATTTTTGCAATGTCACCATTCTAGGAGGTAGAGATTCAATGAAGCCTGCATCCTCCCTCTTAATGCAATTGCTTCAATTCTTTAACGCAAATAGAAAACAAGAATATGCAGTACGGAAGCTTGAGGATGTGGACCAGTCGTAAAGCATGTGCTCTATGAACATGAGGCCCTGGGTTTCATCCTTAGCATGTGCACACACACATGCACACACACACGTACACAGAATTTGTAATTAAATAACGCTTAATTTCAGGTTCTGGCTATACCATTGACTGACCCATGTTCCCTAACCTCACTATTGATAGAGACATTGATGTGTTATCACAAAGATTAAATAAGTTGATGCATGAGAAGTGCTTAGCACAGTGACTCTCACACAAGAAAACCCCCATAAATGGTAGCTGATATTTAACATGTTGGGGGTGAGATAGTTGTCAGCTTCTCCATTGTATTAGCTAATGAACAATGTCATTCCTACTGCTGGGCACTGGTTGTTCAAATGTATAGGACTGCTAAAGCTCACATGGTTCAATGAAAACTACTATGAATTTGGGACAGGATCCTGGGTTCAAATCTCAAATTTATCTCTGATCAGCTCTGTGGCCTTATCCAAATCATTTCACCTCTCTGAACCTGACTTGTTTCATCTATAAAGGGCACGATAGTATCTTTTCTTTTATACCTTTAAAGTCTTATAGAGAAAACAAAGTGCTTTGTAAACTGACAGTTTCTACATGATAATTGGAAGGTGTTATTATACTCTCCTCTGATTTATCACATGAATTTAACAAAGACTGGCCATTAAGAATGAATTAATTATGAAGAAAGCCACCCAAAATAACGTAAGAATTGTAGTCAGAAGGAAGTGGCCTGGCAGCATTCTAAAGAACTCCACCAGCCAACATGATGGAAAACTGCAGACACCCTAACCTAGAACACGTTAACATAGAAACAATTATCCTTCGATGGGACTAAGATTGGGTTATTTAATCAGCTGTGACTTTCACCTGTTCCACTCCATTCATGAGTGTGAAGATTTATTTGGTCCTTTGTGCATGACGACATGCAATTATTTTTCCACTTAAATAGGGTTCTGAAAAAAAGTTCTAGCAGTCTGGTTCTCGTATGGCTTGTCATAGTCAAGGTTCTGGGAAATGGCAGGGTGCTGGGAAGCACTAAACAAGGGAATCCCCTGGTTAAAGTATGGAGTGACTTAAGCCCTGCTCAGCCTAACTATCTGTAGAGATACCTGCTCAGACTCACTGCCTTTCTCACCGAATGTGAAGAACTGAACCCCTATACCAGACTAGAGGCTGCAAACAGCAGGAGCGAGAGTAATCTGAGAGAAAGCCACGTGGTTTGCAGACTGGAGTTGAAACACACCAGAGACCTCACTCTTTACCTAAGGACTCGTGGAAGGAAGAAACTGTGGCGGCAACTGCGTAAATAAAGCCTCAATCTCAATCTCGGGATTCTGAGAAAGCAAGCCTGAGCATTGAGGTCTGTAATTGGTGGCATGCATTCCCTTCCTCCGCCAGTAGAGGGAAGCAGCTGAGAGAAGAAAGAGCATGCAAATTGCTCCAAAACAGAGATTTAGTCATTGTTTAACCTGTCTGGATGTTTTCTTCTACTCTGCTTGTTGTTCTGTGATAAGGCAATGGGAAGTGGGTTTGTGGGGAAACATTTGGGGACGAGAGTAAGGGACCATAGTGGGTCGGCTGAGCCATCTATCTGCTTAAAGAATCATCCACTCAGGCCAGCTTATCTACTAGATGCCAATGAGAGTTGTATCCTTAGAAGCTGCTGCTGCTGCCTTTGCTGCCAACAGCATGGCCCCTGGATTCACCATAATGAAGTAATAGGTCTGGGATCATAGCAGAAAGAGCACAGACACTCACATATGGGAATAAATAGGAATCACACTGTAATACCAAAGACTCAACTTCTACCTGACAGCCCAATAACTACTCTCTGCTAATCTGACTCAACTCAGTCCAATTTGAGGGGCTGTGTTTTGTTTTTGAGACATGAATATCCATCAATAGATGAATGGTTCAAGAAAGTGTAATGCCTACAAACAAAGGACAGCCATTCAGCCTCAAATAGGAAGGAAGCTCTGATACATGCTACAATATGGATGAACTTCAAACCCAATGTGCTAAGTGAAAAAAGCTATCTGTAAAGACCTCATATCATTCATTCTATTTATATGAAATACATCAAATAGGAAAGAAATTCAATTAGTGTTATCAGAGGTTGGTAGACAATAAGAATAGAGAGTCACTGCTTAACAGGTGCTGGGTTTCCATTTGGGAGAACCAAACAAGTGCCGGATGTAGACAGTGGGAGTGGGTATGTGTAATTCCACTGAAGTATTCTCTAAAATGTTTTGTGTGCTTACTTTCATGTTAGCCACATTTGCCCACACACAGAAAAAATGTTATCTAATCCAACCCTTCGACCAACTCAGACATCCCATCCCAATCCATCTGATTTAGTGGTGTTTGGCAGAAAATAGTCATAACCCAATTCCATAAAGTAATGATTTTCCTTCCACTTACTGTCAGTATGTGCTTTTATTTTGGTCTAACCTAATTTCTGGCATATATAGTGAAAAGCTACTTATCTTCATACAAGCTTTTTTTTTTCAGTGCTTGGATTTGAAGTCAAAGCATTGCAAAGAATAGGCAAGTACAGTGTCACCAGCCACATCCCCAGATGCCTTTACAGTATTTTTTAGCATCAAAATAAAGTTTTGTTCTGACTGGCTAGTTACTTTCATTATAAACTGTTTCTGTTTACTCTTAGTTCCCAGTACTAATGGCTCCAAATTCTAAATTCATCTAGGTTCACAACAACCAATTAAGGTAAACAGAAATTTGACCACAGAGCTGTTAATATCATTACAATCAACTAATTTGCCAATTGTTAATGGGTAGCATTTGGTTGGCATATCTAAGCATACAAAACATATATGCATGGCACTAGTGTGCAAATTGCCTTTTATTAATGCTGGACAGTTATGAAATAATATTGCATTGCCTAAGCTCTGAATTTTTATTTAAAAATGTACAAGGTTGGCTTCAATTAAAGAAGCTCTATTTTAATTTTCTTAAGATAACTGAACATATCCACAAATTATTATGTATTTCTGAAACAATGTCTTCTATTCTTTATGAGCTAAATTGGTGGTTATTTGGTTTGTAAAACCGAGTGGAAAATGATGCAAATCAAAAGCCAAGAATGGCAATTTCTTTTCCAAAGTATCACTCTACTTCGTCCCCGGAGTTGAGATATGACAAAAGAACATAGAACAAGAAAGTATATCTTTAATGGTTCCAATCTATCCCTGAGAGTAGAACTAATATTCACCTTCCTTGATGTTGGTGAATGCTGTAAAGACCTCCTTCTGGAGTTCTTGGGTGTTCTGTCATCGTCATCAGTTTTTTCCGAATCCTGAGAGACTTTGTCAGATTTGATAATAAGTGGGCTGATGCCGAATCTCCGTGAGCGCAGAGATTGGATCTGTTAAAAGGGAGAATGGAAGAGTTTCAAACATGGGTGTTTTCCCCTAAGGTACTGGTATTCTTTTGTTCCTTAACTGGTGAAAGACTGACAAGCCAAAAAGAAAAAAAATGACATATATAAAAATGTCATAATGAAATCTAGAATCATGTATGCTAGTAAGGAATGGAAGATGGTTCAGTAGGTAAAAGTGCCTACCATGCAGACATGAGGATTTGAGTTCAAATCTCTAAAACTCAAGTAAAATTAGTATGGGTTACAGAAGTATTGGCAATCCCATTGCCTGTGGCAAATGGGAGTCAGAGACTGGAAAATCTCTGGAAATTTGCGGGTCAGGTAGCCTGATGTGTATAATAGAAAAACAGCAGAGAGACCCTGACTGACACAAAGGGGATTAAAAGCTGAAAATCAATATCTGAGGTTGTGAGTTTGTCCTCTGACTTCTACAAATGTGCCATATATTATGCACACACACAATTGCATGTTTGTGTGTGTGTGTATGTGTGTGTGAACAATGCCCATGAAGCCTCCATGGATTAATGTTTAAACTGAAGACACTGTGTGGTGGTTTGAATAAGAATGGCCCCCGTGACTTTTGAAGTTGGATAAATGCATTTTGCATTATGCTTTGGCTCCAAGCCTGTGGGGGCCAAGGAGTGGTCTGTGATGGTTTAAATAAGTTTGACCCTCATAGACTCAAGTGTTTGAATGCTTAGCCTATGGAAAGTGGCACTATTAGGAGGCGTGACCTTGTTGGAATAGATGTAACTTTGTTGGAGGAAGTGTCTCACTGTAGGGACAGGCTTTGTGATCTTACATGCTCAAGCTATGCCCAGTGTGAAATCAAGTCTCCTCCTTCTGCTGCCTATGGATCAAGATGTAGAACTCTCAGCTCCCCCAGCACCTTATCTGATGCTGTCATTCTTCATACCATGGTGATTATGGACTAAATCTCTGAAACTGTAAGCCAGCTCCACAAATGGCCCCATTGGCTCATATATTTGAAAGCTTAGTCATCAGGAAGTAGAATGTGTGTGTGTGTGTGTGTGTGTGTGTGTGTGTGTGTGTGTACATACATACATACATACATACATACATACATACATACATTCATATGTATGCATGTATGTGTGTGTTTGGGAATTGTTCTCATACTTTGTCTTAATTCAGCTCCCAAAGCCTCTTCCAGATCTGACCGTTCCTGCCCCACCCACAAACACCCGCTGGTTTCAATTGGTAATAAAGAATTGCCTTATAGCCAATGGCTGGGCAGGGAGACAGAGGCAGGACTTTTAGATTACATGGGCAAGGGACCAAGAGAGAGGGGCAGAAGAGGAGAATTGCCATGACTCATAGGCAGAAGGATCAGATTTAAGAGCTGGAAAGAAATCATCCAGCAATGTAGGTGGAAAGGAAAAGCAGCCCTATGAAATGGAGGTGAAGGGCTTCCCAGAAGGTAACAGGGCAGCAAAGATAAAATATAAATTTAGAAAGTAATAATCAAGGAATACAGGAGGGGAGTGTTTGCTAGCTGTGGGGAGGTTTAGGAATGCCCTGCTATTGAGCTAGTCAAGGCATATCAAAATTAACTGGCACCTGTGTGTTTCATTAGTGAATCCAGAGCTCTTGGGCAGGTGCAGTGCATGTGTGAGACACCAGAAACCAAAGCAAATTAACTAATTCACCCCTACAATATATAGAGATAGAGAGAGAGATAGACACAGATGCAGATACTGATATAGATATAAAATAACTACCGAAAAATCGGCTCAGGAAGGAATTTCCTGCCTTCCTATCTTCATGTCTAATATGTATTTAAACCAAAAACCAGCAAGCAGTTTCTGCACATTTTTGCCAATCTCCAATGTCCAAAACTTCAAATTTTTTATTTGATTGAAATCAGTCTTGGTTTCAGTCCCTTCCAGCTTCAGTCTAGAAGTCTTGCTTCATTCTGCTATATCTTTGAATTTGTCCATATCTTAGGAGCTAGTATTTCCAGGGGTGAATCTTGAAGGTATCATCTGGGTTTGCCTCCCCCCCCCTCCACACACTTAAACCTCTATTCCTTTTGCTCAAGGAACTGTCTGGGCTGAATCTTGACCTTGTTCATCTCTTGTCTTCATATTATTAAGGCTGATTTTTTTCTGGAAATGTTAGTGAAAATATAGAGACCTAAATCTGAGTGTACAGTACTTCCTGAGCATGGGTTCAATCTCTAGTATCAGATAAATAAACTTTAAAATCTATAGTTAAATTTTTAACTTTATAAAAATATTTTTAAATGGTACATTTAAATGGAGGATTGACTAATTTCAAACTGATGACCATGTTACATTTGTCTGATCATGGTCCTCTTGATATGGATTGAAATCTTTGATTTATATTTAACAAATATTGGATAAGCATCTACAGTTTACTATGACCAATCATATGAACTGGGCCTACAATACTTCATGAAACGTGGTTCTTTTTTCTTTCAAGCTAACATCACTTGTTTCTGTCTAAAGTTTTACATATGACCTCTAGACACTAGCCAAAGAAAACTGGACACAGTGGAGGTTTGCCAAGATTTTGCCCCTGGAAAACTCCTGGCCAGGATCTCCAGTGCTTGCTACTAGTCTTTATTGGGAACTTAGGAACTAAACCTGAATCAACTATTACTTCAAACAACCATCCGTAAGCCCCTAATAATAATAACAATAATAATAATGACAAATAACTTTCACTAAGGGATTATAATATACCAAGCAGTGACAAATCTCTACAGTTCTTACAAAGTGATTATTAAGTATCACGACCATTATCTAATGGAGAAAATGAGGTTTGAGAGATTTATGACTGACTGTACTTCTACAGTTGTAAGGCAAGTATTTGAAAGCTCTTGCCAAATTAATAGCATGTGTTCTTAACCACTATGCACTCTTGTTTCCTTGCCAGCAATAAGTGCCAGGAAAGGAGGGAGGTCCATACTGAAAGCCATGTTCAGGAAGTTGAAAAGCAGCAACCAGAGCCAATGGTGTATTTCCTTTCTTAAGAAAAGCTGGAGGGGAAGAGTTGGGCCTGGGTGCAATAAGAAAAAAAAGAGTTTTCTACATGATTGGCTTTATAAATGATGAACTCAACAGCCGGAATGTGCTAATAATACAGTATCACATTTTAACTGTTTGTAATCAAATAAAGAAAACCTCATCTAAGCAAACATGGTGAATGTCCAGAAGTGAATAGAATCGGCTCAACCTTAGCAGTTCACATTCAATTGAATACCTGGACTCCTTCCCTCCTAATCTGTAGATGCTATGAATATCTTTTTTGATCCACTAAGAACCTTGCCCTGGAGAGATTGCTCATTGATTAGGAGCATGCACTACTCTTGCAGAGGACCCACATCAGGTGGCTCACAACAGTCTGTAACTCCACTTCCAAGGGCTTCACTAATGTGCACATACCCCTACAAATACAATATTTTGTTAATTTAAAAAAGAATTCCACCCCATCAAGGGACCCAGGCACTGGTCAATTCTATACTTCTACCAATTTCTTTGGAACACTGGTACCAGAGCCCCTGATTCATTCTGTTCTGTGCATTGATGTGTGTGATCTTTTGAAAGAGGGCCACAAACTATATCTCAGGGTATCCTGGAATTCACTATGTAGAAGAGGCAAGTCTTGAACATATGATCCTCCTGACTCAGTGTCCTAAATGCTTATACAACAGGGAAGTGCCAGCCACTCTGACATCTGGGACCCTTGCCATTAATTAACTTTCATTTAGTACTGCCATCTTGGCAATTAAAGGGCGTTTTCTACCCAAAGGTTAATCTGGTTATTGATGACCTATTACCACCTATTTTGGCTGGCCTTTCTTTCTTTCCTTCTTTCCTTCCTTCATTTCTTTCTTCCTTTCTTTCTTCCTTCCTTCCTTCCTTCTTCTCTCTCCC